AAGATCATCTCAATGATCTTCTGAAAGATCATCTCAAAGATCTTCTGTAGAAGTAAGAAGTGGTAAAAATAAATAAAACTGGAGGAGAAGTTTAAAAAAAAAACAGGATAAAACATAAACATGCATAAAACCAGGTCTGGTTCTGGTTCTGTTCTGGTTCGTAGACACAGTCCATCCACAGATGCTGCTTAAAGCTCTATCAGACAAAGAAGCCAGATGTGAACACCATCCAGAACCTCTGCAGTTTTCTCTGGACCAGAACTCGTTTCAAATGGACTGAGGTGAGTCCAGAACTGTTCTGACGTCAGACGGGTCCAAATCTGAAGTTCTGTTTGGAAACCATGAACGGCACGTCCTCTGTACTGAAGAGGAACCATCCAGCCTGGTATCAAAGCCTGCCTCTCTGATGGTATGGGGGTGCATTAGTGCCTCTGACTGGAGCAGCTGACACATCTGGAAATACTCCATCAATGAAGACAAACATCTGTAGGTTTTAGAAGAACATCTGCTCCATCCAGGACTGTTGAACAGCTGGAGGCCATCAGACCAGAAGGAGACAAAACCTCCAACATCTGGTCTGCTCAGGTCCTGGACCTTCACAGACTGATGTTATAGAAGAAGCTTCAGAGGAAACCTGGATCTGAAGAACTTTACGTTCTACATGTTTTATTTGGTCCACAGTGAATAAAATATGAGTTTATGGATGTTTTTATTTTACAAAAGGTCCAACGTTCAGGGTCGGGCTGGTCTTCACGAGTCCTTACCTGAGGAGACGCGCTGGTGCTGCGCTGTGGTGAGTGGCTGACCAGAGAGTCGGGGTAGTCCACGCCGTTCTTCACACGAGGTCTCTTGTGCACCTCCACGTACGTGACGGGGAAGATGCCCTGCCGGTTGGTGCCGGAGACTTTACCTTCGTACCAGTTCTCGTCCACTCTGCGGATCAGCGTGATCCTCTCGCCCTGCGCAGACACCGGGCGGGGCACAAGACGGTTAGGTGAAACCACGACGAGGTCCAACAGCTTCCTGTTCTGGGGTTTTACATCACGTGACCCAATAAACCAGAACAACAACACAGAGCAGAGTCCACCTCAGCGGTCTGGGATCAATCAGGTCCTGGAGCCTACAGGTGTGTTTTAACACAACACCAAGGCGGAGCGACATCAGCAATGACCTCTGAGAAGTAGCTGTTGCTGGGAAGGGTCAAAGGTCATTTAGAGTCCGTAGTTCTACAGAGAACGATTATTCACAGGAGGAAAACATGTCAGACAGCTGACAGTTATCCCAGGAGATTCACCCCGAAGGGCAGACTGTGCAGTGAGCTCCATCTCAGACTCTACAGGCCTCAGTCAGCCGGTCAAAGGTCAAAGGTCATGACCTCTTCTTATTTAAAACAACATGGCAGCACCACTGAGGTTTGGAAAGTTTCATCTGAAGGAACCACCAGACTTCTGGACCAGAACCAGAGCAGAGGGAAGGTGTTTACCCAGAATGCACTGCAGCAAACAGCTCCTCCAGCTGTCGGCACGGTGGAGGAGGCTGATGGTTCGGGCTCCTGTCAGTCACTGAGTGGACCAGAACTCCTCTGTAGACCAAAGGGTTCTGGAGAACCATCTGTCCAACAGCTGAAACTTGGACCAAACTGGGTCCAACAGGACCATGATCCCAAACAAAGCTGCTGATCTACAACAGAATGGGTCAGAAAGAACAGAACCAAGGTCCAGTCAGAGTCCAGAACCTCCACCAGACTGATGCTGTGGTCGGACCTTCAGAGAGCTGAGCAGAACCCAACGATGTAAAGAAGAGTGGGCCAGAACTCCTCCAGAACCATGAGAGGCAATCAGAGAACCCTTGAGGGTTCTGCTGCTGGAGCGGGTTCTACAGCTGCTGGGTCCAGACGTTTGTTGTGTTTTCAGGTTGGATCAGAATAATTTCAGAACCAGTAATGACCCGATCCATTTTACATCCTGACACATAAAACTGTTTGTTTTCTGCACCTTCCTGAAGGACATCTCCACCATCGTGTCCCCTTTGAAGTTGAAGCGGGCCACAGCCTCTCCGTACTCCAGAACCTGGACCGGGACGCTCTTCTTCGGCTGAGCCTTCTCCGTCGGAGGGAGGAGCTGCGGACAAACGAAGAACGTCTTCGACACGAAGTTCCAGATGACAAAAGAAAAGGGTCCAGGTGAGAACAACGAACCTCCACGTAGCTTCGAGGGAAGATGCCGACCCGTCCGTGATGTTCTCCTTCGAACCAGTTCTGGTCCACCTGCCGGATGATGTAAACGATGTCGCCCTTCTGGAACGGCAGCTCCCTGAAAGAACAAACATCCAGGAAACTGGAGATCATTCCAACAAGGCCTGGTGTCAGGTGACAACACGTCTTTTATTGAAACAACGGTAGTTCTGCTAAAACAAACAAACAAACAAACAAACAAACAAACAAACAAACAAACAAACAAACAAACCTTATTGGTGTCTTTTTAAAGCCACTGTTTGCAATGAAGAAACAAAACCAGTATTTTTCTCCTCATATCATTAATATGTGATTAAATTAAAAATAATTAGTGTTTACCTTAAATGTGTTTATTTACATATGGAAACAGCTGAAATGGGTTTGATTACAGAGAGAAACAGCTGAAATGTGATTGTTTATGTATGGAAACAGCTGAAATGTGTTTATTTACATATGGAAACAGCTGAAATGGGTTTGATTACAGAGAGAAACAGCTGAAATGTGTTTGTTTACATATAAAAACAGCTGAAATAGGTTTGTTTACATATGGAAACAGCTGAAAGGGTTTTTTTAACAGAGAGAAACAGCTGAAATGTGTTTGTTTAAATACATAAACAGCTGAAATAGGTTTGTTTACATATGGAAACAGCTGAAATGTGTTTGTTTACATACATAAACAGCTGAAATGTGTTTGTTTATATACAGAAACAGCTGAAATGTGTTTGCTTACAGAGAGAAACAGCTGAAATGTGTTTGTTTATATACAGAAACAGCTGAAATGTGTTTGTTTACAGAGAGAAACAGCTGACATGTGTTTATTTATATACAGAAACAGCTGAAATGTGTTTGTTTATATACAGAAACAGCTGAAATGTGTTTACAGAGAGAAACAGCTGAAATGTGTTTGTTTACAGAGAGAAACAGCTGTAATGTGTTTATTTATAT